GGGGTAGATCGAGACAGAGAAACTATCAAAGCAAACAAGATGATAAGAGCATTAAACTGACCCACTCTTACAATAAGACAGACAAGTAAAAGTAAAAGAAAAGGACATAAAGTCGGCTTCTTAGCAGAAACATACATGTATTGCTTAGGTGACAACAGCAAAAGCAAGGTCAGCTGAAATAACGGGCGTAGCAAAATCGAAAGATGAAACCTGCACTAACAAGGCAGAGCGCTGACGGACATAATGTCGTTTGTCGGTCATGCCCACCCTAGAATATTTATAACCTCCTTGTGCCCAACCAAAAATTTACACACTAGATGAAAGAAGACCAAAAAAACCTGCAACAACGTACCATTTGAGGAGCAAGTTATGTGAGAAATAATGTCAGAGGGACACGAATGGTTGAACAGAGACGATGCTGAAACGATATTGAAAGAAGCAAAAGCGCGGAAAAAGCCGACGTCATTGCATCACAATCGGCACGGAAAGAAAAAGGGAGCATTTTTAGGCCGATCGAACCGCGGAGCTCACCGCAGATAGGGCATGGAGCGGGTGTCAATATGATAAGTATAAGGCAGCTCTGTTCTCGCTAAAGATTGTGATTTATTTCCGGCTATATCTTTTGTTCAGGCCTCTGTATGCTGGCCACAGTAGATGGATGAATAAAAAAAAAGAATAGGCCTACATATTATGTATGATGAACGGTGGGAGACCAGCTTGAGTTGATTAGGCTAGTAATTTCATTCCGGTCATACACAACTGAGCCCCCACGCAAACACACATCCACCTACCTGACGAGTTTGCAAACAAATTACGACTGGACTAGGTTTATACATGACAGCAGCGGTTTGAAATCTGACTACATGTGTGCCCCCGGCCCCCAAAGAAGACCTAGAATCACCTAGAATCTAATGATCAGATCATTTCGGAAGCAGACTCAAGTGGACCGCTTCGACCCCCGCCTGTCCGGGTCAGTCAACCCACAAAATCGTCAAAATGGCAACGCCTAGATCTATTTAGGGACAGATTCGGTTCAGTTATAACAGTAGATCTAGCTCCACGTCGTCATTTCATGCGCGTATTTACTAACATTAATTTCATTTATCTACCGTTGTCATAAAGGGGAAAAAAAAGATTAGATCTAGATCTAGATCTATGCGTCTTGCAAAAAACAATTCATTGTGGGTGAATCCACATTGAGTAGGATAATATCATTTTGTGGGTGCCCAATACGGATGG